TGACTCACATTTGGAGTTATTAGGCTATGAAGACAGGTAGAGAAACATGTCATCTGCATCTCACTGTGTGTAATTGGTGGATTTGTATTCCCATCTGCATTTCGTGTAAAACTGACCAGTAGACACAAAGGAAATTGTTTGTTATGACTATCATAAGAACATCTGAGTTGCCAGTTTAGAGAAATCCTTTTTTCATGACAGTTAAGTGGTGCTATGGAGGTATTTCAAATGACCACTAGTTATTTATAGCATAGCTACTTAGTGAATATAAGCATGAGAAAAAAATAAATAGTTTGAAAATTCACTGTTTTTGGCTGTTGAATGCAAAGCATCTCTGAGGCGAGTTCAGAATTCTGTGCTTATGCTTTGATAGTGATGTAAAGAGTGTTCTTGCATTTCAGTTTGGCAGAGTAACAAGTGTATAGAGAAAGACTGTGCTGTAAGAGCTCCTGAGAGAGACAGTAAGGAGAGAAGCGTTGGGTTTTCTCATAGTGTTGGAGAGAGATGCTTCGAGCTGAGGTGTCTTTGGGGTGTGAAGTATAAATTTGTTCTCTTTCCTCATCTTGTTCCCTGTGGTGGGAATTTGACCCGCGGGTCTACCTCAGTCCTTAACACATTTGTTTGAAGTCTTGACCCATTTTTTTAAAGGAATCAGGGAACTGATCTCAGAGTGAGAGCTGGAGTACAGTACAGACAGCCTAACATTCAATTTATTTGTTCAAAATCCAAATGGGCACATATGTAAGTGAACACTTACAAGCAAAAGAAAAAAATGAATTAATAAATGATACAAAAGGGGCAGCAGATGGGCCATCTTATTCATTACTCAAAGAGTCACACTTGGAACACTATTCTCTGAGTGTAGTGTGCTTTCATTCACACATTAACACCACAATAATTGGTTAAACAAACGAGAAGCGAAGCAAACACAAGGGACATTTAAAGTATGCATAAATTATTTGCTTAGCAATGATATAACGCTGATCCTTTTAATTGGTTAGACACAGGTGACCTCCGATATCGCCCACCAGAAGAACCAAGAGGGTTTTTCATCTTTTTAACTAAAGAAAATATGAAAGCAATTATTGCTTGAGAAATTTTGTCTTAGATCCCTTTATACTTGCTCTCTCACCTCATCCAGCCTTACAAGATTCAGGGCCTTAACAAAGTGCGGGTGGCATTAATTGTAACATGTTTTAGTGAAAATTAGTTTTTTTTCTCTCTAAATAAATTTATTTACCTTTATTTTGAATATTACATTTTACATAGACAAGTACATTTTATCAAGATGGACATATTTTATGTTGTTTTTTGTCATTGCTATACTGAAGTCCTGCTGTTGAGAAAGCTATGTTGTGTCACATATAGCATAATTCTGCCTCATTACTGAGGGATCATGGGTCATTCTACAGAAACATCCATTATTGTGTCCCTAGCTTTTACAGATATATTACACTCAAAAAACGTTAGGGTTAAAATTTATGTATATCTTAAAATAAAACAATACGTTATTTTAACAATTACACCTTCTTGAGCCATTAATTTAACAATATTGGTTCCAAGCACACAGAAGTACATGTCCTCACAGTCATGTCTAAAGGCTGAGAGACACTTGATGTCCTTTTACCTGTTTTCTGAAGATCTATGAAGAAAAGCACATGGTAAGTCCGCTGTGTCTTTTCAGTTATCAGAAATTTTCTCATTTAGCTCATGATTTCATATGAAGCTTTTAGTTGAAGTCACTGGTGTGACCTACTTTATTCTTAGGTAGTTGTGAAAAAATAGAATACAAATGGTTTAAATTACATATTTTAGTGGATATTCCATGATTGACAACATGTGGTTTGATGCTCTGCAGCAGCCATTTTGTAAAATGCATTTGTCATTGAAAATGTCACTAGTGTTACTGCCTCTGGTGTTACCTTTCTTATGTGTAACACCAATGAGCATTGGTAACACCAGTGACTCCTATGGAGAGATAAAATAGTGGACATTTCTATAGAATGACCTTCAATGACCGTCTGTTGTCACTCACAAGATAAAAACATTATCCTATACATTCTTCAGTAGTGTCCTGTGTATGTGCACCTTTTAAAACCTTTCCCCATTTCTGATAATAATATTACCTTTATTTTTCAGATCTATTCTAAAATACATGGTGGTACACTTCTTCTGTATGCTCCCTTACTTTTCAGCACACATACATGTCTGATATTTATATTTAAATCCAAGGCATTAATTGAGATAGCAATAAACTAAATATATACAAAATCATCATTTATAAGGAACTCTCTGTAGGGAGGTGGCTGTCCCAAACTGCTGTCCCAAATAGCCATGTCCCTTTTTAAAATCTTTCTGATTTCTTTGAAGTGGAACTAAAAGATTTAGATTTATTATGTGTTTCATTTTAAGATGAAAAAAGTTAATTAAAAAATGCTGTCCCATGTTTTCATGTCACTACAGAAACACAAAGAGCTATAGTCTGTAGGCGGAGGTTTATTTTAGCTATAACCCTATATTTTAGAGCACGAAGTGAGACTGCATCCCTGTCCCTCATGGCCACAAGGTGAGCAGTTAGATCCCATTGTTTTGAAGTAAATGTGTCTCTGAAAATCAGTGTGAAACATTTAGAATTATCACTACCAAAAATACATATTCTTTCTCTGCAATTAAGCTGATTTTTTGTGTTTTAATGAAAAATAGTATGTTTATATGTGTGTACAAGCTGTGTTTGCTAGTCATTTACTGGCATTTTTGCATTATTCTCCCATCATAATGAGTTAACCTGCGGCATTTCAGTGCATCACATGTTTAAGTAGTAATAGAATACAAGTGGAATTATAAGGTCTGAAATTACATTATAGCTATGACATTTAATCATCAGCTAAAAATTCATAGTTGTTACACACCTAGCTGCACCTTTACCAAACTTTTGACTGTTTAGAAATTTCAAAGACAACCTCTTAAGCAATTGCATAGGCAGAGATCAATTTTTAGGCAGGTCTGTGAAAAAGTGGGTGCACCAACTTGATAGACCCAATCAGGCTAATCCTGACAACTGTGCAGTCATCACCCTACCTGTTCAAGCGCTTCCACTCAAAACAATAGCAATCAACCAGAAAGCTGGATTCACATAAATCCAACCAACACTGCAACCCTCTTCACTCTAAAGCATGTGTCCACTCACCACAGGCACATTTGCCCAATGAAGATGGCATAATTCAGTTTAAATCAGGCAGTTGAGACATACAACGATGAGGAAAACAAGACAGCAAACTTAAATACCTAAACTTAATCATCTTAGGCTAGAACATATTGCCAGAGCGGGCAGACCCAAAGAAGACGATATGATAAAATCAGACAGCTGAGATGTGCAAAGATGAGAAAAAACAATACAGCAAACATATAAAAACATAATAAAAAAACATTGAAATAGTGTGAGACATTTGCTTTGACATTTTCAAAAAGCCAATTTCAGGTATTGCTGTAAAAAAGCAGTGTCACAAAATGATGACAACGTCTTTTTAAATTTCCTTTTGGCATTGCATAGGTAGAAAATGACACTCCATAGGATGAACTGTCGCTTTTAAAGGTCCCCAGTTACTCTTTTAACCACAACTGGAACTTAAAATTCAAACACTGGAGCAATGATAATGAACTGAAGCCTTAAGGCAATGGCTGATAGCAACCATTGCTAAGCAGTGTCTGGAGGGCTGTGAAAAGAAGGCAGAGCTTGGTGAGGACTGATTTGATTGGCAAAAACACAGTAACAGCACTCACAGAACATTTCATTATGTTAATAAAGCATAAGAAGTATTAATTCCCCATTTGACTGGGCAGGACTGTGATCAATCTGGATAGACCCAATCAAGTCACGTAGATTTGATTTAACTATTACTTTTTTTTGAATTAAATAATTAAAGTCTTCTGCATGGTGCATTAAAGGAATAAGCCTTAAGAGGCCGTGCATTACTGAGATTTTATCATGGTGAAGGGTGTTCTTAGGCAAAGAGGAGAATGTTTAGTTGGCCATCGCTGTATATTGCAGTCATTTCATTAACTTTTAAACTCTTTGTTGTATAACAATGAACATATGATAACACAGCACTGCTTACTGCAAAAACCTTTGCTTTATAAGTACTTTTTGGTCACCAAATTACCACCGAGTTGTATTTAGCACCAACCCTATAGCGCCCCTCTTCTAACAATGGGGCTGAATCTCAAATGGCTCCCTGCTTCCTACATAGTGCACTATGTAGGAAATTAACATTAGCTAAATACCGGTTCCTGCACCCCAACAGTGAATAGTACAGCTAAAGAAAATTGTCATTTGGAATTCAGCAACATCCATACTCAGTAAATGATGTAATGTTACTATTTGGCTGTAGAGGCTAGAATTTCTAAACTGCCATAGCTAGCACACTTTTTAGGGAGTACGGAGTCATTTGGGATTCAGCCAGGGTTTGACGCTACTTCTGACTGAAACACAGACATCTGAAGTGTGTAATCTATTCAAGTGACATTCTTTAGTGTTTTATATTGCCCCTTTACAGTGAATCATGTCGTAAGTACTTTGATGCAAGCCTGTGATATTAATGATGGAGTTGTTTAGGCTGTTAGCTATCTTGTAGCCTGTTAGCTAGCTGCCCACCACTCAGTTTAAACAAAAAACGGGATCCTACTTTTATCAGTACAATCCGTGGTTCCTGCAAGCAGCATTAGAGGCAAAGATTATTCCATTAACAGCACAAGGGTTTTTCGTGCTGTGGTGCAGTGATACAGAGTTCAGTCACTGTGAGGTGGTCATAGGTGTTCATATATCGTGGATTTTACAACGGCTTCAAACGCGGCTCAGCCGATCAGATTTTAGGACTGGCACTATCCGTTTTATAAACAGTATTTTGGATATCTTCTGTCCCCACAGACTTCACTGCAACACCGCTGATGGCTAGCAAGGAGTAGCTGAGAGGCTAAGTTACATGCTAAAAGTTTTTCCGTACCTGACTCCTGAGTCTGCCAATCACCGCAGGCAGCAGTCCGTCCTCTTTACCAGGCTCAGGTACAGTCAGAATGAAATCTACATCGTGCCCAAACGTTTTCCCCCTGCATGATAAAACACGCACAAATACAAAGATTCACCACATCAGCATAAGGACATTTTATGCTTCATGTTCATCTCATCATACCCGTTCATTAAACCTCATAAGATGATATACTAGGCTTTATATGACTGCAGTGTAAATATGGAGGTAGACTAAATAACTTTTGGAGAAACCTAGTGCATAACATTATGTGGATATTTGCTATGTGTAATAGCTTTGGCTCTTTCCCATAATTCAAACAAGCTATTTGCAATGCATCATTAGGCCCTGCAGCTCTCTGTTCCTCTCCACGTTGTCTCAGCTGCCAGGGCTGTTGTTTTCTTTATGAGTGTCACTGTTTCAGGATTATGGTAATGGGAGAGTGTTACACTGGGCCCCTCTGGGTACACGGCAAAGCAAGACACACTCAGGAGAACAAAAGTTAAGAAGTTACCTAAAAAAGCCTTTTGTCAAGCTTTTTAAACCATAGAAGATGCACAACTGAAACAGAATTCAGTGGCAAACACCTCAAAGCTATGAAGAATCAAAGTTCTCTCGTTTGCCTTAGAGCACAAACACACCATGCAAAAAATGACTCCTTTGTGCAGCCTCTAGAGCACACAAGTTTACAGCCCCAAAACTGTCTTGAAACATGAGTTTAAATGCCTGTCTGCCTTCTGTAGTCAAGGCAGATGGGGGGAAAGAGAACTCAGAGGTGAAAACACCAGAGCAAGGAGAGGATACGGATAAGGTGTGTCTCCGAATTCAAACCTTGCATTTCTTGCCTCTTTTGCTGTCAAAGGTAGAATCACAGAGGTGCAGTGTAAACTCAGCTGGCTATTCTGCTGTCATACTGCGCCTTTCATCACACCATAAAAAAACTGCTATTTTCATCATAAGCTTTTGTGCTTCACAGTTCCCTCAAAACATTTAAGTTTTGACCACGATTCAAGAGTTCAACATTCCTGCCAGTGTGCATCCGACTTCACAAACAAGCAATATGTGTATTTCTGCAATGTAGTGGTCGGATTTTCTGGTGATGCAAAGATTTCTTCTTCAGTGGTCCAGAAAAACAGTCTGGGGCGCAGGAGTGTAAAAGGACCAGACCATCTACAGTGGCCCCCCTGGAGACCTGTGTGATGAAGTTCCTAACATACTTACATGTGTTTGTGGAAAAAGCTTTAGTAAATTCACAGCCATTTGTAGCTGGGAGCACACTGAGTGTGCTGAACATGAAAGAGCAGAGAGAGAACTACAGTGACACACACACACACACACACACACACACACAAACACAGGACGCTGCTCTGTACTGTAGTTTTTCAGATCCTTTTTTTGGGTTTTATACAGAGAGAATCCAGGCCTTTTTGTCTGTAGCCCGCTCTGCTTCAAACCATCCGGCACACAGAAGCAGCGTCTGTGTTATCTTAGCCTCGATCCATGCCCTTTGATGGAGATCTGTTGAACGAACAGATGCAAAGCCGCACATCTCCCAGTTAAGGAGACAGATAAACGAGAATAAATGGGCCCTGTATCTGACAGTGGCGGCTGCTATGCTTCATCTCACCAACCAATGACAGACTAATGGCAGGAGGAGTGACAGAGTGAGAAAAAGAATGAGAAAAGGTAAAAGTGGGTAAAGAGAGAGGGAGCAACAAAGTGAAAGAGAGCAAGTCAAAGAGATAGAGAGAGAGCAAGTCAAAGAGAGAGAGACAGCAAGAGAAAGAAAGATCAAAAGAAAGAAAGAGCTAAAAACACAGTGAAAAAGAGAGAAAGAGCAAGAGAAAGAGAGAGCAAGAAAAGAGTGAGAAAGAAAGTGCAAGACAAAAAGAGAGCGAGAAAAAGAGACAGAAAAAGAGACCAAGAGAAAGAGAGAGAAAAAGAGAGTCAGACAGAGAGGGAGAGCAAGTGAAAGAGAAAGAGATCGAGAGAGAGAGAGAGAGAGAGAGAGAGAGAGAGAGAGAGAGAAAGGAAAGCTAGTGTGAGTGAAGTTTTATTACATATGTGTAGATAATTGGTGCAATGCTTTGATAACAGTAATGTAAATGTATGGCAATAAATCAAACCAAAAGAGAGAGAGAGTGAGAGACAGAGAAAGAGATCAAGAGAAAAGAGAGAGAACAAAAGAGATAGAGAGAAAAAGAGAGCGATTGAAAGAGAGAGAGCATGAGGGAAAAAGAAAAACAATGTGAGTGAGAGTAAGAGAGCACGTTAAAGAGAGAGAAAGAGACCAAGAGAAAGAGCGACAGAGCAAAAGAGAGAGCAGAAAGCAACTGAAAGAGAGAGAGAAAGAGAGACAAAAACAGTGTGAGTGAGAGTGAGAGAGACAGTTTAAGAGGGAGAGACCAAGAGAAAGGTAAAAACAAACAGAGTAGAAAAAAATGAGAGAGAGAGCAAGAAAAAGAGAAAAGGAGAGCAAGCAAAGACAGAGAGCAAGAAAGAGAAAGAAAGAGAGACAGAGGGGGGGTCAGAGTGCAAATTAAAGAGAGAAAAAAAGAGAGAGAGACAGACCAAGAGAAAGAACAAAAGAAAGACCAAGAGAAAGAGTGAGAAACCAAACCAAAGTGAGAGCATAAGTGACAGCGAGTCAAAGAGAGAGAGACCAAGAAAAAGAAAGAAAGAAAGAGCAAGAGGAAGAGAGAGAAAAAAGAGCAAGTGAAAGAGACAGACGAGAAGAGAGAGAGAGAAACAAGTGTGTAAGTGAGAGTGTGAGAGCAAATTAAAGAGAGACCAAGAGAAGGACAGAAAGAGAGAGTGAGAAAAAGACAGTGAGAGCAAGAAAAAGATAAAGAAAAATATAGCAAGCAGGGAGACAGCAAGAAATAGAGAGAGAGGAGAGAGAGAGAGAGGAGAATTATCACTCAAAATTCCATGAGTGCTAGAAAAAAATGAAAAAAATAAAGAATAACTGCAACATAAATTTAAAACAACATATATATAATATCAACATATATATAATATCAACCGTAGATTGCCAACATCATCGACTGTGCATAGGACTTCATTAATGCCCCAAATGCTCACGAACTCTGGCAACTTCCCCACCAAATTATAGCAAGCATGCTTCATTCTCAGCCGTGCAGCCACCAACCCCAGGAACACAGCTACCACGTCCACCGCTCCCTGACCCAGCATCTGGTTCTTCCTCGTCTTCCAGATGGCTAGCTTTGCTGTACCAGATAAAAAGTTTAGTAAAACTAAGACATTTTTCCTCCTTACTGTGTATTTGGGCCCAAAAATAAAAAGCTGAAAGGAGAAAGCCCCACCCAACGACGAGAACCATTCGGTCAACAAGGAGAAGAAATCACCCAACCGAGCGCACTACACAAACAAGTGAAAGAGAGACTCAATTTGTGGGCAAAAGAGGCAGCCCTCCCCAATATTTGGATCGAGATGCACCCGATGTCTGTTTGTAGCTATTGCTCCATGTACAATCCTCCACTGGAAGTCAGCTGTCTGTTTATCAATCGGACGCTTATACAGAACCTGCCAGCAGCCTTTCGGGGAGGAGTAAGCGCCAAACAACTTAGACCTCCTTGTCGATAAAACTCCATCCAGAAAGCGTGCCTGGGACACCTTCACACATACCAAGTACAGTGTCTTCTTCCCAACCAAAAAGAAGGCGCCCAGACCTGATCCCAGTCCTCTCACTCACAGCCGCTGTTCCAGTACGCATAAGGTGGCCAAGCTTCATGTATCCTGCGGCCACCAAACGAGAGCGCAATACTGCTGAAGATAAAAGAGCTGATGGTAAAAAGGGGTTAAAGAACAATGGCTCCTCAAACAACCACATACCAACAGGCGTATCAGCAGTCCTTGAGACAGAAAACAACTTCCATGCTTCCAGTATCGAACTATAAAAAGGTGTAAGTCCTGCCAAAAGCCTCTGGCGTTGTCATAAGGAACAGGTGTTTATCAAACCCCATTCCCCCTGCTCGTCTCAAAAGCACAGTGGCAGTATTCTTCCAAGCAATTGCTCCATGGAATAGTAGTCGCTGGGCAGCTTGCAGACGAAAGGCCATGATCCTGGACCTGATATCCACCAGACCTTGCCCTCCCTCTTGTACTGGCAGCTATAGGACAGCTGATCGAACCCAGTGCTGTCCTGACCAGAAGAAAGTCACCAACATCCTCTGCACCTCCTGTACTAGTCCTGCAGGCAGCTGTAAAACACTGTGCCACAGGGTGGAGGCGACCAAGTTATTTGCCACCAACACCCTCCCCCTGTAGGACAACCAGGGTAGCAACCATTTCCATTGAGACAATTTGGTGCACACTCTCTCCACTATACCCTCCCAGTTCTGCTTCTGAAAGTCATCTGTCCCCAGGAAGACACCCAAAATTTTCAACCCCTCTCTGCCCCACTTCAAAGTCCCAGGCAGACGTGGTAGCCCTTCCATCTGTTCCTGGCCTACCCAAAGAGCCTCACTCTTTTCCCAGTTAACTTTGCCAGAAGAAGCCTTCTCATACAAGTTGAGGGACTCAACTAAAACCTGAACATTTTGACTGTTTTTGATAAAAACTGTGACATCATCAGCATAGGCAGATAGTGCTACCCCTGGACCCCTAAATCCCTGTGCAGCATGAAAGCCAGCTAATCTCCTCCTCAGACAGATGAGTAGCGGTTCAATAGCTAGACTGTGTAGTTGACCTGATAAAGGACAGCCTTGCCTGACATCTCTTGTGACTGGGATTGGTCTGCTCAACCCACCCCCCACCTTAAACCAAACATGCAGCACCAGAATACAGTAAACACACCAAACTTAAAAAACCATCCCCAGTGCCAAAAGCCTTAAGCACATTTAAAAGGTACTGGTGATCAACACGGTCAAAGGCCTTCTCTTGATCAAGAGAAACCAGCCCAACACTCTTATCAGAACCCTTACAGCAATCCAATACATCTCGCACAAGGAACAGGTTGTCCATTATCAATCTGTCAGGAATGCAGTAAGACTGGTCCCTGTGCACTACCAAAGACAGGTCATTTTTGAGCCTATTGGCTAAACATTTGGAAAGGATTTT